TTGCTATTTTTGTTATTAATTAGTCCTTTTTGTTTTTAGAGCAGTTATACCTTCATAAGTTAAGCATTTCCTTTCCTTTTTTTTTTTTTTTTGTATACTATGAAATAAGGATATAGAGTAGTTCAGATTTTTAAAAAAGCAGAAATTTGGTAGTAGTAGTAGTATTTTGGGGTTATAGCACATAGAAACATCCTGGTGGGGAACTAGTCAGTTCACATCCTACCTGGCCTTCTCTATGCCTTTATCAAGCAGAGTTTATCCCAATAAAACTGCTGTGCCACATCATTACATATTTCTAATGTGTTCTAAATTATATGTGTGTGTGTGTGTGTGTGTGTACACGTGTGTGTACTTACAAATACATGCAGACTATCAAACTGCAAGCACAGATCTATGATCGTTTTATTCTCCATTCTCCTATTGTAATGGAAGAGGGATCCCAAAATGTGTGCTGCCAGTGATATTGTGAGGAGCTGAACATGTCCGAATGGCAAACACGACATTAAGCATTAATGTAGCGGCAGGAAGTGTTTCTGCCATTCACATATTCAAATTTACCCTTGAAAAATCTGTCAGTGTCAGAGCTTGCTTTTGTTGCCACTTACAGATTTGATACAGATTTGAGTCCATGTATTTTTTTTCTGAATTTTTGATTACTTTCTTTTTTTTTTTGTCATACACATGAGCAGTGAACTTTTTTTTTTCCTTCCACTTTGGCTCTACATCCGCAATTTCGATTTCTCTGTTAGTTAAAATAAATTTTCTCCACTGTTGTTCCCTTTCAGAAATACTGTACCTGTATTTAGTAATATTTGGAAATACTCTATCTGTATTTGGTATACTATTAGAATTTAAAAAAGAAATACTTTTCAAGCTTTCTGCCTACAGAAATGTACACTAACCTTTAATGCTCATTCAGAATTTTCCTGACATGATTATTTGAGAGCTGTTCGTTTAAACTGGAAGTTAATGAATGACATTGCACTTGAGCTTTCTTGTATTTAAACTCAAATAAATCCCCAGAAGGTTTATTGGCCTACTAATTTTCTACTAATTCTGCTACTGCTCATTTGCCTTTATACCTTTGAAAAATCAGGTGTTCTTTATGTCCACGGTGAAGTTTAGTTTTTCTTCAAAGCTGTCTGTTATTCTGATGAACTGGAAGACGCCAACACTTGTAATTTAAAGAAAAATCCTACTGACTAATTGAGGAGATTTTGCACTTTGGATAGCTCACTCCAGAGATTATAAATTTTTAAAATGTCATGTTTTTAATTAAAACTGAAAGGGGCTTTTTGCAGAAGAATGTTTTTATTTCAGCGTTTTGCTAAGATGCGAGCAAATAATACATTTTTTCATATTTGGAAAAATTATAATGTTTAATGAAAATCTTCATTTGTCAAAAAAGACCTTGATAGAAAGCATTTGGTCAGTGCCAGTGAAAATTAAAAAATGATATGTGGAAAAATGCTCCAAACAATGTTCCAAAAAGAGGTGGGGTAATGACTGTGTTATTCATCAAACAATTGCAAAACATAAAAAGAAAAATAGAAAGAGTCACAAATGTAATGCAGCCTTTGGCAGTTGTGGTAGGCTTTCTGTAAGAAACAGAAATTATTTTGAAAATGTAGATGACAATATTTGCATGTGGGTCACTTGCAGAAGAATTAAACAAAATTTTTCACTTAGAAAAAAGGGGCTTAATTTCCAGTCAGGGAGTCAAAACACACTAAGTGCACTGCAACTGGGTCAGCCAGTCAGATTTGTAAATACGCAGCTTGTGGTGAAGGTGTCTTGCTGTTGCAAGGACCTTTCTGTTCTCCTCACACCTTCCTTGCTTCACTCTTGCTCTTTTCTCCTAAATATTGTTTTTCGTTTTCTCATGTAGCAGATGTCCCAAAAGCACGCTATCTTACAAGCATGTGTTTCCATGAGAAGTATTAGTAAGCATTATATTCATAACAGAATTATGCAAATACAAAAAAAAAGAAAAAAAAGGAAGTGTATCAATATGACAGCCGTACCTGTAGCCGGAAGATTTTCTGTGCCCTAAAGCATAGGAATGTCTTCATTTTTTTTTTTTTAATAACTTGTTTTGTAGAGGATGACGTTTTGTAATTCTTCAGACTCGTTAGATGTCAACAAGACTTAATTAACAACTGGCTAGCGTCAAGAATATTGCAGCCTATTAGAAATCTCAAGTGAAGAATATCAAATCCATCAAAAAAGACATCTAATCTCTCCAACTTCAAGATTTTGCAAGACAAAATCCTTATGTCTTACATCACTTAAGTACGTTTCTGTACAAATAAATAACAACGGGATTTTATAAAGGTGTCAGAACATAGCAAACCAGCAAAGGTTTGGCCAGAATGCTTTGACATTTAATCTTGTGATTGGGTCATAAATGTTTTAATGTCCACAAATAATCAGGTCTTTGATTTATTTTGCAGCGATAATAATAATACCAAATGACATCAATGACTGGTATGACATTGCCTTCCTAAAACAGTATTAAGGATGATGTGAATTTATGACTTGAACTTGCTGCTAGCTTGCTTGAATCATATATCAGCAAGGTCATAAAAGGGAGAAAGTTCCTTGCGATTTTCCTCAAATACCTCCCATTTGAACCTGGATGCATCAGTATAGTGTATTACATCTTGAAGAGCTCAGTGTTTCAGAGGATATAACCATGGTGTAGCCAAACTGTATCTATCTGTGAAGTAATGCACGAGAGTGCTTATTGTGTGTTGTGCAAACTGGAAGTTTTAAAAGTCGGTTGTTTAGCCCTGGAGAGTTTTGTACATACGTGGAATTTGGACCTTTAGAAATAGGTAGTAGATTAAAATTCTGTATAAAAAGGAATAAAACATCGCCAACTTATCCTTTGATTGCAGTCGAGTTGGAATGAAAAAATCAGAGATGAAAGCATGGTTATTTTTATCTTATTAGGGGAAAAATAATAGTTTTTTTTTTTAACTTCATTGATAGGAGATTATTACTATCTTCTGAAACAACCTACTTTTTTAGATTTGAAATTATGAAATATATTGGCCAGTTCTAAACATTAGGTTGGTCTTTGAGCTTTTGGATAGATACAGAACAAACCTGTGTGAAACAGGAAAATCTGTAGCATTAACATCAAGGATTACTTTTGTTGCATACAAGAAAAGTACTTGACCCAAACAAGAAGCCTATGCTGTTACTACGCATCTAAATCAGTGCTAGTCTTTTCCACATGATGGGAATTCCTATCTCAATTCCTCAAACAAAATAAGAAAAGTTGATTAATAAATTATGAATAAAATAAATTTTATTCATAAAATAATAAACATTTAAAATAATAAAGCTATTTTGTGCTGGAGTTAAGACTCTCTATATAATACTCCACATTTTTATGTAGCCTAATCGGTGTGGTACATGCAACTCCTGATCAAAAACATTTAGCCAGCATGCCAAAAAAAAAAAAAAAAAACCATAAAAAAGAGGCATGTTAGGCAGAAAAAGATCAGCTGTTTGAAGGTGTGATATCTGTTGATGTGAGCCAAGTTAGAAAAGGGGGTTAGCCATTCAAATAGCCAAGTTAAACAAGAGACACTTAGGGCTAAGTAGTCTCCCAAAGGATTGATAAACTTTCACATAGGGAGTGTGTGGGGTTGAACCATTAGCCCCAAATGGTGTCTTGTTTAACTTGGCTTTTAAGATAACTAGCCCCTGTCTAACTTGGACTTCCCTGATGATATCCCACCTCTATATGGCTGACCCTTTTTATAACTTGGCTTTTTGTCTTTGCAAAATGGTTTTGATCAGATAGCACTCTCCCTTTTTTTTTGGTTCAGAAGAGAATTAAGTTGGGTTTAGAAAAAGAATTAAGCTGCAAGAGAGAATATATTAGTGTCGCATTGAGAGACAAGCTGATTTTAATAAAAAGCTATTGTAGAATAAAAAAAAGAAAGGAAGGAACCCAGCCAGAACAGGATTTTAACCCACAGCTTTCTCTCCCACAAGCAGGTTTTGTTGCCATAAGGCTACATGGAGAATAGCTGGCTGTATTTTTTGTGTAACTGAACGAGACCATCTAGTCCCTTAAAATGAACATAAATACTGGGAATGACAAAAAGAAAGCTGATATTACACAAGGGTTAGGAGGCTTGAATTTGAGTGTGCGCTCATGTCTGCATACTGACACAACTGCAGAAAAATCAGACAATGTAAATAACATATGGTTTGTTTTTCCAACAAAAGGCAAGAAGGAAGACAAGGCTTTTCTGCTAAGTTTGGCAAGTTGTCCCTGCTAAACTCTCACAGTTAAGAAGGGACATTTTGTGTATCATTCCAGTTGCACAGATGCACCGAAAGCCAAATCCCACTCTTACTGAAGTCAGCGGGAGCTTTGCCATTGACTTTGTGGAGACTCAGATTTGGCCTCCGGAGAATTATTCCAAACAGTCAGGGTTGTCCTGGCAGTAACTGATTTCTTGTATGAGTTTTGTCCTGTGTGGATGGGTAGTCAAGGCTTGTTTTTTGGTTTGGCGTGTTCCTGTGGAAGGGACAGCACCGCGTTTCCCTCCGCGGTGGTGCAAGGCCCTGAGCGCGGCCTCAAACCACTTCTGCGCTATAACCAGTTATTCCCAATAGCATTGCAAAGCTTGTAAAATGTGCACTGCTCCTACAATAGGTACAGCAAATGGGTAACATGTTGTTCTAATGTAGCGACATATGCTTTACATAATTTAGTAAGGCAGCACTTTACTTAGGCTTTCCGAAAGGGAATGGGAAGACATGTTGTTCCACGCTCTTGCACAGGTTTTTGCAAACTCTATCACAGCTTGGTTGTTCTTTTGCCTGTCGTGCTTCATCCAAATGCTTCTGTATTTGTCATGAAAATGCAGCTTGCTATGTCAGCAGCTGGCTACTTTGCTTTTCCTTCAGAGCAGCATCCTGTACAGTTGTATTAAAATGTCTGCAGAGAGCAAATAAGTGGTGTTTCTTGCATGAATCTTTTGATGCTCTGGTGTGTGCTTATCTCTAAGTTAGCTAGAGGTCCATGTGAATTTATCTTTGTCACCCGAGTATATTTGTAATGGGGGGAAAACAAAGCAATCTTTGTACAGCCAAGTATATTTGTAATTGGTGGAAAGCAAAGCAATCTTTTAAGTATTTCAACTTCCTAACATAGATATAAACTATATGAAGTGTTTTTACACAAAGAAATATATCCTGTTGTATTTAATTTTTGTTGGAAAAAAATAAATTACTTCAGTGCGTATACCACAACAAAAAGTGTAAAGTGTATTGCTGCAAACTGAGAATGAAGAATAGTACAGAATCCTGGTGAAAATTGTATGGAATTCTGAATGAGGAAGCGGCGCAGTAATAAACAATAGGAGGTTGTTGCAAAGCATGGGGGGAAAGAAACGCAGTTGTACTAGCAGGATTTTTGCTCTATGTATTGTAGAAGATAACAAAGTATATCTGCGTTGTTTATTTAGAGTGAATCATACTGTAAATCCAGGCTTTTTTCCTTTTGCTTATGCATCTTGGTAGGTAAAATTACTGAGAGGGAAGGGTGAGGGGAGACTCTTAACATTAATGTGCTCCTCGTGTTCTTGCAGGAGAGTACATAACTGCTACAAATGCCGTCAGTGCAGCTTCACGGCTGTTGACACTCAGTCACTACTCGAGCACTTCAACACTGTGCACTGTCAGGAGATGGACGTCACCACGGCCAACGGGGAGGATGGCCACGGCGTTTCGTCCATCAAGGAGGAGCCAAAAATCGACCTCAAGGTCTACAGTCTCATTAATCCGGACTCCAAGCTAGGGGAGCCCCTCTCTGACAGCATAGTGAAGAGGGAGAAGATAGAAGAGAAGGAAGTGCTGAAGGACAAAGGTTGGGCTGAGAGCCCCGGCGATGATCTTCGCGGCGTGTCCTGGAGAGGAACGGACATGTTGAGGGGGAGCCCGTCATACACGCAAACGAGTTTAGGCTTGTTGACCCCAGTGTCCGTGGGGCAAGAGCAGCCAAAGCCTCTGCGGGATAGTCCGAACGTGGAAGCTGCCCACCTGGCACGGCCCATGTACGGCCTGGCTGTGGAGAGCAAGGGCTTCCTGCCGGCGGTGGCGACTGGAGCGGCGGAGAAGACTGGGCAGCTCCCGCAGCAGTACCCGGGATCCGGCGACAGCAAGTCCAAGGATGAATCCCAGTCCCTGTTACGGGTAGGAAGCTCTCATCTTCTCCTTTTTGCAATGTTGCGTTTAATAAGCATGCAAGCCATTTTCCCAGTTCCAGCGTGATGGGTTTTTTCCATGCTTGGAGGGGGGCGAAAAAAAGAAAAAAAAAGGAGGAAAACTCAAAGATTCAAGCTACTAGGGCTAAATTGGCAGGTAAATGTTCAAAAGTGTTTGCATAAAACATTGCATATATTGATGCACTATTAGTAAGCAAGTGCTTTTGCTTTTGCTATTTAACTCTGATTGAATTTTGTTTA